AAAAAAAAACAGGTTTTGCATAGACGCAAGTTGATTTAATATATGCTGATTCATCTCATTAATTGAACAATTTTTATTCATTTCGAGCACTGTTATTATATTATTATTATTATTATTATTATTATTATTATTATTATTATTATATATTATTACTATTTTATTTTTAAATTTTTGTTTTATTTTTTGTTTTTTGTATGGGCCTAGATATAGGCTATGTATATATTTAATAATTAGAAATAATTATAATTTAATTGTAAAACATATATATTATAATGTTAAGAATATTATAGGCTAGGCTAGACCTAACCAATTATTGATACCATAATCTATAGATAAAAACATCCATTTGATAATTGCAGCTTTTCGAGTGGCAGTGCCGATAGAAAACTGCAGTGTTTTGGCACTGCGGCAGTGCCGATAGAAAATCGGAGCTTTTTCGCACTGCGGCAATAATGCCGATAGAAAATAACAGCTTTTTTCGCACTGTGGCAGTGCCAATAGAAAACAGCAGCTTTTTGGCACTGCGGCAGTGCCGATAGAAAACAGCAGCTTTTTGGCACTGCGGCAGTGCCGATAGAAAACAGCAGGTTTTTTTTGGCACTGCGGCAGTGCCGATAGCCTCAGCCGCTTCACACAGTGGGCTGTGAGTAGTAATGACTTAGGCCTAGAATTACCAATATTTTTAGCCTAATACCGACTGTTATTAGTAAACACAATAATAGAATGATTGTTTAAAATAGATAAATATATTCAATAAGTGTTTTATTTTATTGAACTTAAACTAAACTGATGTTGAAAATTTAACGTAGCACGACCGTCTAGCAAAAAATGGGGATTTCCCTAGGGCTGCCTAGAGCAAGAATACGTTGTTAACATGGCGGTAGCCAGCAGTTTACACGCATTTCCAGTTGTTTGCAGTGTTTAATAATCAGCCGAAAAAGATGAAATTTCTTTATGTGAACATTTATAAATAATGTCAATGTTTCAAAATAATTAAAAACTTTCATTATGGGAACGGATTGGAGCTTAAAAATAGGTGCGGCTTATACACAGGTGACACAAAAAATCGTGATATTCGCGTCCTAATTTGGGGGGGGGGGGCGGCTTATACACAGGTGCGGCTTATACACCGGAATATACGGTAATCTTATGCCCTTATCATACAGAAGAGAATGTTTAGATCTTACTTTTTTTTACAAATGCCTAAATTTTAATATTGACCTCGATGTCAGGAACTTCATTCGATTCAATGAAATGACTGATCAGGTCACAAGCTCAACTGACAATGATTTAATTATTGAAAAGTGCAACACTGAGTCTCACAAACTATATTATTTTAACCGCATTGTACCCATGTGGAATACCCTGCCTCTTACATTTAGAAACAGCCCAACTACGCACACTTTTAAGCAAAATGTTAAATTATTTTATCACAATCTGTTTTTAAATAAGTTTAATGTAAATAATGTTTGCAGCTGGCTGTCATGTTGTCGCTGTGCCAAATGTCGCCCAATTTAAGTTTTTGACAACTATGTGGAATTCCTCAAAGCTTCTCTTTGAGATTGTTTTATTATTTGTTTTATGCCTTGAGTTCCTTTTACAAATTTTAGTGTTACATTTTAAAACTTATATTGATTTTATATCTTGGTCTGTGCAATTCGGGATCGGCCGATATCAGAGGTGTAATTTGTCCACTTGTTGGCCTTTCACGTCACCGGTAATCTTTTACTTCATTGATATTTTATTGTATTTTTGCCCGTGTAATTTTGAATAAATAAAATAAAAGTAAAATAAAAACAAGGGTCACTATAGTGAAAATTATCAAATATTGCTAGTGACTAACGATTGAATCAATTGCATTAGACATACTCCTACCAAACATGAGGTGTTCACAGGTTGAGGTTAAAGGTCACAGTGGTTATCTCTTAAAAAACCAGAGCTTTGCAGGCGTCAACGTTCCTATGCATGATACATGACTTAAAAAGTATATATACATATACAGTACATACATATACATATATATATATGTATATTTATATATATATATGTATATATATATATATATATATACGTACTGTGTATATATATATATGTATATATATACGTATATTTACATATATATACACGTGTATATACAGTATGTGTGTATATATGTGTGTATATATATGTGTGTATATATATATATAAATAATATATATATATATATATTATATATATGTATATTTATATATACGTATATATAAGTGTATATACATATATATACGTGTATATATATTGTGTGTATATATATACGTATATATATATATAAATAATACATAGATTATATATATGTATATACATATATATATATATATATTATATATATGTATACATATATACATATATACATATACATATATATATACACACATATATATATACACATATACTGTATATATACATATATATATATACATATATATA